TTACACAATTGATGTGTGTATGGATTGGGATAACAGTTGTATGAGCCCCTAATAAAATGTTAAAAAAGAGAAGGAAAAAAAAATAAAAATAAAGCCTGCTTCTAAAACTTTACCAATTGGATCTTTAATTCCGCTTCGTGACCCCAAAAACCCTTACAAATACTATACATAATTTTTTATGCATTATATTTGTAAATTGTGCTTATATTGAAATTAAAAATATATATTACAATACTATTTTTGCATTCTATGAAAATTTTTGTTGCTCCATATAGACCAAATTTTTAATCAAGAACACCCCCCCTTACCCCCCAGGTCAATGGTGTCCCACTTTACCAATGTTAAAATCTGGTCACCTTAGCCTAGGAGGTTGAGGGGTGGGGAGGGGGGAGAAGTGGGGGCAGGTGAGATGGGAAGATGGGAGAAGGGTGGGTTTGGGGAAGAAGGAACACAAAGGACAGGGCTGAGAAGGGAGGATCAACTAGAACGCGACCTCACGTCTGAACCTTCGGCTCTCTCCGAGCGCAGGAAGAAAGCGTCTTGTCTGAGACTGCCCTGGCGCACCTGAAGTGCCTACGGTGGACCCGCCCTGCCGGTTTTCTTAACGACAGGAGTACTCGGACTCCATTTTGCCCCGCTTGTATCCACTCGGAAAGCCAGGAACCCGAGTACGGGTGAGAAATCCGACAGGCGCTGTTGAGCAATGAAGCCAGCTTTCCCTCTGGGACGCGTTCAGGGCCAACGCCAGAGCACCTTGGCACAACGCGCAGAGATTCACCTGTGCGCTGCTTTGCCCACATTCCCACGGCCGGCGGGGCCTTTCTGCCTCAGGGTTTCAAACCTGTCTGCGAGGTCTTAATAACAGGCGGGCTTGCTCACTGCGAGAGGCTACGGTTCAAACCCACCAGCCACCCCACGGCAGGAAAATGAGGCTCCCCGCTTCTGGAAAGATGTGCAGCACGCCTTGGAAACCCAACACAGGGACACGCGCCAGAGCCTTATCCAAAAGCTCCCGCACAGGAAGGCTCGGGGCTGCGGACCGAAGAGGAAGAAATGAGGTCACTGGCGCCCAGGGCCCTCCGCCCGTCGTTCGGTTCTGACCCAGGAGGTCTGTCCCGGGGCACTGCTGGGCCCCGCCGGGGCGAATGGGGGTGCCGGTCCACAGCAGGGTCACGCCCGGGAGTCCAACCAGCGCACGGACGGCGCGGGGATGCCTCCGGCGGGCGCCATACTCGCCCCCACTCGGAACACCGCAACTTGGCCGCACCGGGCCACAGCAAAACGCGCGCGCACACACATCCCACCCCCCTCTTTGGGTGCAGAAATAAAGAAACTGTACGCTTACTGACAAGTGGGAACTTCACCCTCGCCTCCGCTCTGGGTGGGTTATGCGCATCAGTGAAAAACAAGTCTCCAACGGAAAGCAACCGCAGGGACAACCACAGCAAAAGGCGCCACTCCCCCCGCACCCACCTCTGATACCTCAAAGGCAGTAAATACTGATGCCCCCTCCCCATTTAAAACAAACGACTTCTTTCTAAAAACACCATCAAGAAAAGCAAAAGAGGAACCCCACGTCTCCCCACCCCGCAGGCTGCAGCTGTTCTAAAGATTTTTGCTTTGCCTCCACTGGGGCAAGCCTTCCTTCAACACGATGAAAACGATAACGCCCAATATGACGTGAAGTCCCACGATAGTCACGTAAAATACACTGTCTTCGGGAGACAGAAGCGTGAAGCTTTGGAAAAGGAGTAATTTGCAGGTGAAAACTTTGACTACGAGTCCCGCAAAAAGGAGGAAAATCTTAAAAGCCGTGGCTAGCGCGCCCGCCGACTCGGGCTCCTTGGCGGGGCGCGGCGCGGGCTGGGGGAAACGAGGCATGGTCTGTCCGTCTGCCCATCCAGGCCCCCCGGCTCAGGAAGATGCCCACACCAGCCTCGCGCCTGCAGCAATGCGGGCAAGTGGGAGGCGGGTCACAGGCCTGGGTGACTCCGGTTTCCGGCTTCACATCCGGCCGCAGCGGGCGGCCACTGCGCATGCGCACCCCACGGCCGCCTCCGTTCAGCACACCGCGGTGGACCAGACCCCAGACCCGTGACTCTGCGGGGTGCAGTGCCAGGGTGGCCGGTACTGGAGAAATATGGATGCCAACTGACAAGTCTGATCACCCCTGGGAAAATGTTCATAATGGTTTCCTGTGAAACTTGTCTCTTGTTACAATGTCGGGGGTCCTGTGATCATTTACGAAGCCTGTTTTGTTTTGGGTTTTTTTAAAATCGTGATTTAAAGTCTATAACTTGCTTGATTTCCACTGAATTTTTTTTAACATTTTATTAGGGGCTCATACAACTGTTATCCCAATCCATACACACATCAATTGTGTAAAGCGCATTTGTACATCGTT